CTTTGAACTCTCATGTATAGCCATTATAATATTAGTCGCATTTTTTTCTTACTTGTTGGCTAGTGTTGGTACTCAAACTTCTCCTCCTACATTTAATAGATATTGACAACTTCGTATCGGAAGCTTCAACGTTTTATCTTGTTCTAGGTGTATCTACAGTTTGCAGAGTTCAACCTTGAGAAACCAAACGATTGCGCCAGCAATTTCGTGCAGGTGTTTTCCGGAAAGACTGACATGACGGCGTGCGACAAAGAGTTTTGTGGCTCGATCGCTGACACAGTGCTTTCCAAAGGGAACAAGATGTTCGTGAGATTTTTCTCCGAATCGAAGAGCAACAAAACATTATTCAAGGCGAACTTTACTGCGTTCAGGGATCTCGGTTCAGGTAAGGGTTTTTCCGTCTACGTTTCACTTTTATGCGCTCTGCCGTGGGCTGGAATGGGTTTCTTTTATATAGGATCATTGGGGTGTGTTTCATTGCAATATGTGGTCATTTTTGGTATAGAATCACTCTGCTGGACATCAATAGATGTTTCAGCATTTCTAACGTTCCTAGTCCAGTTCAGGAGCACATTAGAAGATCCTTGAAATGTAAGTATTATTGAATTTAGAAGTCAGACACAAATTGATTTTCAATTCTTCATTTGGATATATTTTCAACTCAAGAGTTCTCTAATGATGATGAGATAATTTCAGTACAATTTTCAAAAGCACGTTGCTTGATGATTTTGAGAACCACCTCAAAAATGATTCAAAATTGGTGTTTCCATAAATAAGCTGTGGTTCCTGTATGAAGTAATTTCTGAAGTCAAAACTTTCTCAATGAAATGATTCTGCACTTTCAACCCCCTATATATGATAGCTAATTGAGTAGTAATTTATAATACAAATGAACAAAAATTAAATGACGCTCCGGGGCGTCTTCATTGATTCCAGTAGCGCATTTGCTTTTCCAGCTACAGGAAAACCTAGAGAAACCTACAGCACCATATCATCTGAAGATCTTGATCTGCCAATGTCCTCTGTCTCATAAAACATAATATGGGGTGTCTCCAGAGGCTCCAATAAACTCAATACATTGCCAGAACACTTATTGACACGACTTTCGCCAAATTTAAACCACTCCGTTTCAATTCTGACGAAGGCATAATAATGACCATATTCAACGCCAGAACAACAGTGAACAATGACTGCAATGACTGCTGTAGTTACACTTTATAGATCTTCTTGTGTTTCCAACTGTTCTATGTTCTTTAGTAAGCTTGAAGAATTGTTTAACTATCTACATCCTCAATTTTCTAAACTAATCATTTTAGGGGATTTCAATATTGATTTTCTGGTACCCAGTTCGAACAAATCAAACTTGCTCTCGATATTCCATTCTTTCGGACTGAATTTTACAATTTCTGAATTTACTAGAGTTGATAATGATACAAAGAGCTGTATTGATAATATAATTACTAACATACCTAACAAAGATTATTTCGAAACTGGTATTATCGACCCGTGTTTATCTGACCACTATGGCCAATATATAAAAATTAAAAGTATCTACAATAACAGCAAATCAATTCAAAAAAAGAGATTCATTACAAAAACTGGATTAGAAAAATTGAAAAATTCCCTTAATGAAGTTGACTGGAANGAATAATGACGGTACCTTCTATTTATTTATATCAACTTTTGATAGACATTCATAAAAATAAATTAACACAAAATAGAAATTGTGATTTCCATGATTATAACACGAGAGGATGTGAATTATTAAGGCCAAGTAGATTCAGACTACAAAAATCGAAGAGGAATTGAATTGATGTTAACCTCTACAATATTTTACCTCCCCATGTCAAAGAACTGAATCAGTACATGTTCAAAATATATATAAAAGATCTCTTGATAACAAATTGTGTATACTCTACTGATGAATATGTAGCTGTCCTATCCAATGCAACACGAACCATTGACTAGTAATTAAAGTTGACATGTTCTATGTTCTAAAAAATTTGTTACTTGTGTGATGCAATGTTTGCTAGCTCCTAAACTATAACTAGGCGTTTTATATTGATAACTTTATATTTTTCATTCCATTTTGTGCATTTGACTTATCTTATTTGTATTACTATTGTACATCTAAAAGATTTATAAATTTATCTATCTATCTATCTATCACGAAGATTATATAGGTGGTCTGCAATATTGAAGTGTTCATCTATTTCAAACCTTCGTAAAAGTTTGGTGCTTCCGTCAGAGGTTGAGTCATGTTTGAAGATCATTAGTATTATTATTAGATTGACTGATTGACTGGTGTATCAGCTATACTTGTTTTCTCATAACATTCAGTTAGTTTGGCGCATGTTTGGCAATACAGTCGTTCGACACCTGTTAAAATTTTCATTTCCGGATGATTCAATAAGCTTCGCACGAAACGGTTATTATTCATAGTAGGAAAGCTAGTTGAATTTCCAGAAATTCACATACAGTTTTGCTACCTCTTGAACATTTACTACAAAGTAAACAAGTGAATATTTCTCCAGCAGAAGATTTGCGAACACAAGACGAGATAGACTGTATGGAATCATTCAATCCAGAGCAGTCAGGAGTATTGATTTCATTATTGTTTTGCTCACGAAGAGTATTCAACAAGTACCCCAAGAATTCAGAACAATCCTCTGGTTGTCCTAACGAGTATCTAGTGGACTTCAAAGACTCCAGGAAATCGGTTGGAGGGAAAGATGATACATTCTTACGAAACTGCAGCTGCATGAAAAGGTGTTTGAGTTTGATGAATAAATAGGAAACATTCTCGTTCTCGTTCATCATTAAAACCTCGTTCTTGAAATTTTTCGTCATGAACAACATACTTGTACGAGTATAATGCTATTCATGTAGCAAGTGTTTCCTAAATTATCTAATTCCAATTTCTCAAGATTTTCAGTACAACTCTCTACTGATTCGTAAGGAAGAGCATGTTTCACATAATTTGCATAAGAACCATTTCTCAAGCTGCAATAGATCCTTCCACGTGATGAACCAGGACAATGGTTCTATTAGTGGTAATATTGATTTTGTTCTTCAGGAATTTCAAAAAATTATTCACCTGTGTAATAAGATTGGACTTAAATTGAATTTCGACAGAGTGAAATTTTTGCTCATTCTCAGATGCTCACAAATCCATTCACAAACACATACACAAATTAAAACCGTCCCCGAAGCATATTGTTCGTTATTGAGAGCTCCTCTCTCTGTAGAGTATTCATCATGTAGTCTCACACAGAAAACACAGTCTCTAAATTCCGCCTTAAGCCAATCAGTTCTTGTCATCTGATCAACTTCATTCTTTTCAAATCTTTGTCTGAAATATCTAATGCGTGTTACTTGAATGGTGAAAATAAAAGAATCCACTTCCCGAAAATACAAAGTGTTGGAAAGCCTGGGATTATGCAATGATTTTTCCGATATTCAAATAGCCAGACTCAAAGCTGTTATGTCCAAAAAATCTGGTACCTGACTAAATGCTCTTTCTGTGGCTTCCTCATGTTTCCTTTTGGATGATGCATCTTTCAAAATAGAGCTCTGCAGGGGTTCCTTCAGATCTTGAACCCCTTGGTGTCTTTTGAGATGATGGAAAGTATGCAGACGGAATGAGTCTAATTCCTTGGATATTTAGAGAACATCTGGTTCGGAATCTGCTTGGTTCACCTGCTTAGATACAGTTATAGATTCACACCTTGCTGCAATATCTAATTCCAGCGATGTAGCTGCTATGATAGCATGAAAACAGAAATTTTGAAAATACTCAGCTTTGTTGAGTTCCTACTGTTTCTTTATATGTAGCAAGTTGAGTCTCTTTCTTTCTAATCATATCCATTTGCTATAATTCATTTTCCTGTTGTCAAGTCTATCTCAATATAACACCGCCTCTCTAAGTATAAACATTTCGTAATTATAGTAATAGCCAACGCCGGATGTGTACTTTTCGATTTTCCACCGGTTGGAGTGAAAAATAAAGCGTAAACATAATCCTTTTCGTGCTTGCCACTCCAGTCACTCCAATCTGTTACTCAAACATCAAGTAGGCGATGAAAGAGCGAAAGGGTCGATGTTATTTGCCGGTGTTTAGCTTGAAATCCCACACGTCACGTTGTGTCGCCGGAACAAAACTTACTTCCCAATTCAAGAGCGCCTTGGGTATTAACCATAACGCTAATTGCTTTCCAACTTTTGTAATGTCGGAAATGCATTAAATTAAACACGGAGATAGTGATGTCGTCGAGGTGTTGGTTAGTGAACAGTAAATCACTTTCCCAGTATACCAGAATCAAGAGAATGATTTTCAATCATTTTTCTATTGTTGCTTTTCCTATTGTATTCTTTCCATTTCAAAAAATTGACTACTTACTGTATTATTTCACCTTGAGTTGACAAATGCAGACATCAATTTTCTGGGGTGAGAATTTGTACGTAACGGACTCGAAGGGAGTTTAACGAAATTGAAGTATGAAATCGAAAAAAATCATCACTTCTACTTCTCACTTGGTTCTGCCGAACCAAAGTGGGGTTCAAAGGGGGTATCGAAGTCAGATGAACATAGAGCAGTATTGTCAACCGTAGCGGAATTTCGCTATCGCAGCGGAATTTACTCGCGGTAGCGGATTTGAACATTAAGTTGCAGAATTTTCTATAAATAATCAATATTACTGATGTTCTTCTTGAAGATGATCACTTGGTGATCGAAACACGTGTCGAGTTGTTGAAATAACGGTTTGGTGTTGGGAAAAATCTCCAGTAATACTCATTGCTATACCAAACAGTACATTACAAGTATAAATAATCAATATTAAAAAAAATATGAAAGAAGAGGCAGTGGACAGCACTCGAAGCTAACAGCTTACAATTGAAAGCACAGGCAATACGTTATAGTCTTAGTAGCTGAGGCCATTACATGATGAAAGAGATGAAGAATATTTTTGAATACTTTTTTTCATATTACCTGCAATATTTTGAAACTGAAAGTCATGTGTTTTATAAATTATATAGAACAAATTTCAATGGAAATGAAAGATAGTTCATCTGATTGTAGCTTGAGCGAAAGAGCTACCGCAGTTGAAATTGATGAGAACGGGACATGTTCAAAAAAACACAAAGAGTCCGGAAAATAATATTTGGATAAGGCTACAGCTTTCGAAAATTAAGTGCTGTAAATTTAAAAAATTGGGTAACATCTACTGAGTTGCGCGGCGGAGAATTAGCATTATCGTGATTCCTGACAGTTCTAGTTTTGTGTATCTGAACGGTACACAAACTGTAAGTTCTGACGTATTCAATTTCAGTTTTAGTTCGTTTATGTTCATTGGAAACTCTGTTGAACTTAGTATTAGTGTCAAC